TAGTATAAATGTAAGTGCAATCTTTATTGTCATTGTACTTAAATACAACGAAATTGGTTTTAACCTCACTGGTGCAAAATTATAACAGAAACGAAAGAAGATACTCAGAGATTATTCACATCCTGGTCAGTGTCTCTTTGCATTTCTACCATCAGGCAGAAGACATCAAAGTATAGCCAGCCGAACAAACAGGTTTAAAGATAGTTTCTATCCTTGGGATGTGAGACTTTTAAATACAACCACAATTACTCCATGCACACTAGTCTTTTTCTTTTTCTTTCTTTTTTCGTTTCTGTTATAATTTTGCACCAGTGAGGTTAAAACCAATTTCGTTGTATTTAAGTACAATGACAATAAAGATTATATTTATACATACACTGAGAAAACTATTTTTAAAAAATCAATTCAGTTTATTATACAAATGCTTCACAGATTGCCTACTTGTAAATATTTGTAAAGCATTAAACAGTAACCACAAACTTCCAAATATTTTTCCAATTCAACATTGCTTTATATAAAGCATATATTTTTTTAAAGTATCATTTAAGAATATAATGATTATCAAAGACATTAATTTAATAGAATAGTATGTTATTTTTCATTATGTACCTATAATAATTCACACAGGTTTTGGCATACATGAAATGAAGCGCAATAGAGAGAAAGAACCCTGAATACTAAGGCACTAGGAAGTTTTTTAAACGAAAATATGGCAAAGTATTAGGGGCAACCGGTCCATAAGTATGCAAATACAGTATTTTCTTATAAATTTGACAATATCTGCAGTTAGTAGTCAAAAAAGGAAGTTCATGTTCTGTAAAACATCATGGAAGTTTGAGCTGAGGTAGCATTTGAGTTAAAAAGTTGTTAACAGAAATGGTCAGATTACAGAAGACCTAACGATCAGTTAGATTTGATTGTGACTTGACACAGTTGTGTCCTGAAACATGGGCAGGGCACTCTGTACTACAACCTAGCACCAATTTGAATTAATATAGAACAGGTTTCGCTCTGGACAGCTAGTAAAATGACCCCAAAAGATTATAAACATTTAACATTATGTTATTTATATACGTTAAATATATATTTTATATTTGCTCTAAGACAATTCCTCTTCACTCAATGCAGCCCAGGCAAGCCAAAAGGCTGATCACCCGTGATATAGTCTTCTTAAAATACTGGGCTGTAATCTTCTGCGTGTCTAACTGGGGACACGTTCTGTAGAACTCAGTGAGATAGCTTTCTAAATAACATGTGCAAACAAAAAGCTACTTATTTAATTTAGATAACTGGTGGCAGTTTCATCCAAAATGTTGTAGAAGAACATTTTTTAATAAATATTTTGCTGTCCCAGAAGCCCCACTCAAGTTGTTTTGCTTTTGGATAGTAAAATTTGAATTTAATTTAAAGTATTGTTTCCAAGAAACAGTACTTTAAGAAGTCCAAGAAACAAAAATGGCAAAAGATGAAGAGAAAGAAATGCTTTTATACTACCTAGAAAATAAATATGCTTTTCAGTGAATCTCTTCTTTACAGTGTTGCACCTCAAACCATGAGAAAACAATATTGATATATGATTTTATACTCCCTGAGATGGCATAGTAGAAATTATTTGTCCAATACAACATTGTTTCACCTTGAGAAATAAACATAGAAATTGAGGTTTCATTTTAGAAATATTCTCAAGATTGTAAAAGTGCAAACTCAACTAGAAGTAAGCTCCACTGAGTTCAAACTGACTATCAACTAAGCATGCTACAGATATTTTAAGCTCCAGTTCTTAAAGAAATATATACATTTAATGCCTAACATTTTATAAACTCCCTAATTCAAAAGGGATTTCTTAATTGCTATCATTTTCAAAAAGTGAACTTGGAGAATTCAATCGTTCAGAATAAAAGACAGTACTTGCTTAAAAGCCATAATTAAGATTTTACATCAAGTGATGCAATCATAAAGTACATCACATGACCACACTGATTAGTTATCGGCAGTTCCAGAAGTCGCTAGTTACATTATTAAATAAGGACTGCAAATTATTGCAATTCCTCAACTTTTCTTGTCAGAAACAGGCAGGAAGGAAGCAAATTGGGATCATATGACTGTGGGATGCAGTGATGATTGGAAATCTAGGCCCCTTGCCGAGTGCCTGGATTACATTCATGTGACTGCAGGGGTGCCACAATAGCCAGAATTTCATGGATTGGTTAAGTACCACTCATTTAGCAGGTCAGTGAACAAG